GTATTCCAGTATTTGAGAGGCTGCCATAAAGAGGAGGAAGTCAATTTGTTTTCCAAAATACCAGAGGGGAGGACAAGACATAATGGATGGAAATCAAGGAGAGAAGCAACCTGGAATTAAGGAGGAAATTCCTAACAGTAAGGACAATTAACCAGTGGAAAAGCTTGCCTTCAGAAGTTATGGAGTTTTTAAGAAGTGACTGGAGAGTCATTTGTCTGAGCAGGGGGCTGGACTACAAAACCTCCAAATTCCCTTCCAACTCTATTCTGATTGATCTGTTCTCTGGTCTTGCTGTGGCATCTCCCCCACTTTCCTTCTCCACTTGTTCATAATTGGAGACAGGCATGATTTGCACAACCCCCATGGTAGATTATTTCTCCAGGTCGATTGGTAATGAAATTCTGGCTTAAGTCAGTCCAGCCTCAACTTGAGCTTTTAAGTAAACATGATTCTTAACACCATTGGGTTGAGAAAAACATGATTTACTAGAAGCCAAATGAAATACAGTAGTGCAAAGCCAGAATTGAAATTAATGCACCAATTCCCCAAATAAAACTTTTCCAGGCTTAGGCACTTTCCATTGCTGACCCCATCGTCCAATCAATCTCCAAAAAGATGTTTTTGATGCAGCCACTCAGATCATAGGCTGGCTCGCAGCTGCATTCTTCTCATAGCGAGGCAACCTTGAAATGCCATCTCGGAGAGGCACCTTCACTTTTGTAACTTTCACTTTTCCCCCCAAGCATTCACCCTCAGCCTCCTCCCAGGGTTCATGGCAGACTGTTACTGAACATTAGACATGAGATGGCAGTTCTGACATTTACATTCAGTGGTTCTGAAATTACATTTGCCAGCTCCTTCAAAACCTTGGGATGAAAACTCATCCAGGGTGAATAGGTATTCCCTTATTAATGCCTTGCCTATTTTTTCTTGTATACCTGTTCTGTCTCTTTCAGTGCTGCTTTTGATCGATAGCATTTTGGTTCTTTCTTTTGCATAAAAACAGATGCAAAGTAGGAATTTAGTTCTGCTTTCTTCCTGCTATTTGTCACTGTCATTTGCTCCCATTAGTTGGACCTGTCATTTCCTTGACTTTCCTTACATTGTTCCTTACATAATGAAAGGAATTAGTTTTAATTCATTCTGGGCCTTAACTTTTCTGACTCTCTCCTTGAGCTTTGGGCTGTTTATTGGTATTCTTAATTACGTGTCCCTCTTTCCATTTTTTATATTTGACCTTTTTGTCCCTCAACTTCTCAAAGAGCTCTTTATGCAACCATGCTGGTCCCATCTGCAGTCTCTTTTTTCTCTCTGTGTGGCATTGTTTTTTCTTGGGCCTTCATTATCTCATTTTTCAGGGTTTCTCAGGCATCTTGAACTGTTTTTCCTTTTAGGATATCCATCTATGGAATCCTTCCTCTTAGCTTGTTGAAGTCAACTCTCATAAAACCTAAAACACTAGTTTGACTTGACTCAGTTACTTGTGGTTGCATTTTGGTGAATCCAAGTATGTTATGGTTGTTCTTCCCCAAATTTCCTATAACTTGTAATCCCTCAACCATTTCCTGTCTGAGATGGTATAAGTTCTCCTGCTGGAGCAGGGGGCTGGATTAGAAGACCTCCAAGGTTCTATTCTATTCTATTCTATTCTATTCTATTCTACTCTACTCTACTCTACTCTACTCTACTCTACTCTACTCTATACTCTATTCCTGACCTCCTAGTTCCCTTCTCTGCTTTTTGTATGACAAAATTGTCAGATAAGCACATCAAGAACCTATTTGATCTCCCACTCACTGCAGAGTTTGTTTCCCAGGTGATGTCAGGATAGTTAAAGCCCCCCATTACTACAGTGTTGGGTTTCTTGCATACCTTAGCTAATTGATTAGCAAAGAGTTGATCTATTTTCTCTGCTTGGTTAGGTGGCCTATAGTACACACCTGTAGCAAAGTCATTGCTTTTTCCTCTAATATTTACCAAAATACTTTCAAGAAGGCTTTCATCCCTAGTATTCTGTATTTCTCTGGACGTGTACTGTAGTAATTATTTATATACAACACAACCCCGCCTTCTCTTTTATTGGGTCGGTTCCTTTTCAACAATATGTATCCTATCTAGCTGTGTGTTCCAGGCATGGGTTCTATCCCACCAAGTTTCAGTAATAGTTACAATTTCATACTTGCCTCCCCTATACTAAAATTTCAAGCTCTCGCTGTTTGTTCCTCATACTATGAGCATTGGTACGACCACAATTGAGCCCAAAATTGATGTTGCTAAGCGAGACATTTGTAAAATTAGTTTTGCCTCATTTTACGACCTTTCTTTTCACAGTTGTTAAGTGAATCACTGCAGTTTTAAATTAATAACACGATTATTAAGTGAATCTGGTTTCCCCATTGACTTTGCTTGTCAGATGGCTACAAAGGTGATCACATAATGCTGGGACACTACAACTGTCATAAATATGAGTCAGTTGCTGAGCATCTTAATTTAGATTACGTACCATGGGGATGCTGCAATGGTCGTAAGTTGTGAAAAATGGTCATTAAGTCACTTTTTTCAGCAATGTTATAAACTAAACTAACTGTTATAAGTCAATGTATATACAGACAATATATAGAGACATTTGAGACCTTTATAGTTGTCTTAGTTTTGCTGTTTATCTCCTAATTTGTACTTCTTGCATACCTCAGCTCTTTAGCTGAGATGTGCTAATCTAATCTGAGGCCCTATTTTATCTTCATGAGGTGCAATCCACAGATTCCTATTTCTATTGTCTCTTCCTCTTCTTTCTCATTTTTCTTTTATTACTTGCATCTTCCCCAAATTCTCTACTTTCCTCCCCAACATGTCTAACAGCTTTCCTTGCTTCTTGCAAATTTGTTTCCAAAGTGATTAATGGGTAAGTTGCCTCCACTCGCCCAATATAGGATTACTCAGGGCACTGTAGCTATGTAACCCATAGTTCACCTTTCATCCCTCTTATTAGGAGGCTTTGTTCTAGCTATGTACTGGTACTATAAATAGAAATGGTAGAATTCTAAAGGGACCTCTTTCTCCTGCAGATCCCCAATGGCTTTAAAACGTAATGGGTGCTATTCATTATGTCCTGCACCATGTTTTGGAGCCGGTCACTTAGATTGGGGGAATTAGGTTTTTATTGGTAAGTGTACCATTTGGTGCAGATCCGCTCAATCCCTTGGTCAGACAAATTGTACTGGAAGCTGAGCTGATGTAGCCTATATGTCCTTTGAGTGGGGTGGGGCTCAAGGCCCCAAGATGTGTAACTATCTGTTTCAGCTCTCTCCCCTTAAAGGGGTATGAGTGACTATTTCCCATTGCTAGTTTTGGACATTTCTGTGCCATTTTGTTCTGTTTTCCTCTACTGCAGAGAGGAACAAGCCACCTCTTTCTAAATACTTTATTTTGTAAGAGTACATGGACATAATCTACCAGATTCAAAATAGTTTTGTCTAGTTATTTTTTTAAACACATTTTATTAGTTTTTTAATTTCTTAAGAAAAAGTACTCAAGACCCACCATGGTGTTTGGGTGGTCAAACATTCAAAAGTAAAGACATATATAAACAGCTCAGCACAATATATTTCGCTATCCCCTCTCTATTTCCCTTGAATAACATAATACATTTAAAATATTCCATTTCTATTTTAAATTTCTATAACTGCTCAACCTGTTTTATAACTTTATCAGTTTACAATTACCATAGTTTAGCTTTAAAACAACAAATTATCAATTCTAATTCTTAATCTCTCACATCCCTCATTTTATCACCAATCTCATTTGTTTCTTCTTTCACAACACAGTAAATATCCTAATAGCAATAACGTATTAATGAACCCTATACATATAAAATCCCACAATCAATCCATCTCTTTAAAATAACAAAATAATACTAAACCTTAATTCATTCAAGTTCATTAAACAGAATTCAAATTTTCTCCAATTACTTATCATGCCTTATCACGTCTTTGTTGTCATACAAAAAGGTCATCTTACTAATTTAAAACACTCCATCGATTATTGAAACCATCCAATCTAAATAGTCATCATTTTTTCAATTCCAATACAAAATGATTTTCATCAAATTGAGTCTATTATTCAGTACATGAATACACAGATCCAGTACATTCTTAATCTGTTTAAAATATCTATCAGCCTTGATCCTTAAAACAGTCCGTAAATCCAGTGTTGTCTTTTATTCCATTACACCATTTTAAATTTCTCTTTTCAATCTAATTCTGGCTTTTTTCCTATGCCAGATAGGTTTCCATAAAGATGCTTCCATTTCAGCCAGTAGATCTATTTTTGTTGCTTGCAGTAAGCTTTGAAAGAATAAGAGTCCCATCCTCTGTGTCAGGTGTCTGTTTCTCTCCTCCTTAAAATATCGTTGCTTTGTAGTTTCAAATCTCAGTCTTTGCTTCTTCTGTTCCTCAAAGTTACAAATGAGAGATTTGTAAGGTATGATGAGTTCATCTTTTATCTCTGTTAATTCCTCTTATGGAAGCCACCTCTTTCTGAGCTACTTTTCTCCACAGCACAGCACTTCCCTAAAAATGCCAAGTGGAAGTTAATAAGCTCAGCTTTGTGGTTTTAATCAGATTAGAACCCTGCTGCCTGAAACTAACCACGTTTTAATCAGGTTCATAGTGAAGCTATTTGATGTATTCAATGCTGTCATGTTCATCAGGATAGTAATTGTGAATAGTCATTAAACAAGGACTTTCTGTATAAAGTTTTCTACTTTTGTAATAGTGTAAAATATGAGGAGATAGATGCAGGAATGCCTCACAATTATTTCTGTGTAAATAGAAGTATTTTCCATTCACATAAAAATTCTTGACTATCTTTGTTTAAGGTCACTTAATTCAATAGACAGATTCCATGCCTTTTTGCAATATTATTGTTCTATTATTTCTTCATTTAATTTCTTAATAATGCCTAATATTTTATCTCACTAGCTGTTGTCTTTAATTTTCCAGTATGATTGGTGCTCCTGGATTCCAAATGCTCCTCCAACTATGCGCGGCCCGCCACCTATAGAAAAGGGGAAAACCACCATTGACTATATCATCAAGAGTTTACCTGATAGGGGACGGTCTTGTTGGCATCTTGGTGCTGTTTGGGCTTTGAGTCAATTTCAGGAAAATGAAGTGAGAATTGTTATAAATTTTTAAATTTATAACATAAAAGTAAAATCCAGACTCCACATTCTTCATGGAAATCTGTGTTTTAGTACACTAGAGGGAAGTATTGTGTACATGGACCTCAAGGAAAGCCTTTAATAAAATGCTAAAAAATATTCATAAAAGTAAAATAAGGGCTAGATGATACTACTGTTATATGGACTTAACAGTTGGCTGAATGCACACACCTAAATAATTATGTAAATAACTCTACTTCATCTTGGAAGGAAGTTTCAAGTGAAGTTCCATAGGACTTCACTTGGAACTTCCTTCCAAGAAATTTCACAACTTCACAGGCTATTGCTCAACATTTTTATCAATTATTTGAATGAAGCAGTACAGGGGCATTTCTAAAATCTTCAAGAAGCACAAAATTGGGGTAACTAATACTTTAGTTGGAAAGATCTAGACCAACTTGAACTGAAAGTTGAAATGAATAGGACGGAATTTAATAGGTCATATAAAGTTCTGCATCTGAAATGGAAAAACCTAACGCCCAAATATAGGATGGGGGAGGACCCAAAACAATAGGTTAAAATTATAATGACTTGGCCTAAAATTATAAGGAAGGAGGTTCAGGCTACACTTCAGTTGGAATATGCTTGTCAGCTGGTAAAATAGACTGTCAAAAAGTGCCTAAGACAATTCATCAGGGCCAAATGATCATGCCCATTTCACTCCAGCTTTTCCAGCTCAGCTGACCCACTGTGGGCCTTTGTCCATAGCTGACCTTCCACTGGTGAAATACTGCTGCCATTATTATTAACGCCGCTTCTCCAACACTGCCTAGTCACAGCTGATGCACTGTAACACAAATCTGCACAGCCGATTCCCCCCATGGGACAATTAAATGCACCTCTGATGCTTCTGGCACACTTCTGGTGCATGCCTTCTGATGAGAGGGATGGGGCTTTGGAAGCAGCAGGGCTGGAAAGCAGGGGTGGTGTGGCTTTGGCAACAGCCAGCAACATTTGGCTGTTCAGGGGGAAGGTGCAGGTGTGGTTAAAAAAAGAAAAAATAATAACTGATCTTTCTTCTCTTGTGTGTGTGTTTATTGAGAAGAAAGTTAATAAAAATGGGTTACTTATACAGCTGATTGAAGAATTGCTAAGCCTTCTTTACAAGTACATTTGAACAAGAACCAAACTAAGATCTAAGATGAAATTGACCATGTTGTGTAAAACTAAGAGTTCTGGAGGATTTTCTGTCTTTGTGTTTGTATGTGTATTAAAGTCTTTGTGTGTCCTTGAGGTGAAAGAATAGTGAAATACTGCATGGAAATTGATGAAACTTTTATGAAGCTGTCAAATGTCTTTTATCACCAGAGACAAGATTTTAAATTTTGTTAGGAAAATGTTAAAATAAGCTTTAAAAAAATACATTCACCATGCTTTGCCTGGTCAGCAAAACAGAGCAAAGAGAGCCATGTTCCCTTTTCTCTCTCCCTGTGCCTTTAATAACAGCCCAAGATCCATCAGGAGGGAATCTTCTAAACTCATTTAAAAGGAACATTTTTATTTTGGATTTTATGTATTGTGGGTGGAAATTGTCTGTCTGTAAATCATGAGATATTCTTATCTGCAAATGTCTATTTATTTCTGTCCTCAAATCTGTGCATATTTCCCAATGATATATTTAAGCCTTGGACTTTCCAAATTCTGCCTGCATGTTATCCACCCCACCCCACTCCACGTCTCTGTCTCTCCTCATCTACTTGATTGCTCTACTACAGATTTCTGTTGAGCTAATCTGTCTCTCTAAGTCATTCTGTTTTTTCTTTTCTTCCTTTAGTATACTTGTCAGACCCCAAAACCCCTCGCCTATTTTCTTTTGCCTTCTATTCTTTTGGGGCCTGCCATTCTGTTGGGGGAAGGGGTGCATGGGGGAATATGTTGGTAATTTTCGCTTTCCTCTTTCTTTGTCTGGCCTCCTTTTGAGTATGGAATGCAGGTCTCTTTATCTAGGAGTCAGTTGCAAGGAAAGGAAAGCTGGAGAAGACCTTGAGATGCGAGCCTATCGAGCCTACCGTACCAGTCAGCCGGCCATCGAGCCACCTGTGGATTGGCTGGAGTTCAAACGGACATTATGACTTTGGTGGGAGGGGGCATATTGCTTTTCTTCAGATCTCGCCTTACATTCCCTGCTATCACTAGTCCCTAATAAAAGTTCCTTTTGAGACAATGCCTGTTTCAAGAGTTCTGCTTTCTTGGATGATTAGCTGAGGTGGGTCCTGACAATACCTCCATACCTTCTGTAAAAGGTGCTGATCCTAATCAATTGTATCCTAAGCAGTTGGGAGTAAGGCCGAGGCATTTCTTTCAATGTGTATTGTACACTTGCTTATTTTCACTTGTTGATTATAGATCAGGATTCAAAGGCTTGGGGAAGTGACGGAAAGGGCTGCAGATGTGCCCCCCTTTCTTTCCAAGCATCCCTGTAGGTTGAATTCTGGAATGTGAAGCCTGGACCTCACTGTTGCCCAGCTGGGATCATATTCTCCTGATATTCTGGGGTTTTTTAGGCAATTTCTTAAATCTTTTGTAGCCTTTATTAAGGTCCAGGTGCCTCTCTTGATATTTTTCTTTTGATATCTGTCCTGCAAATTCTAAAGATTTCCATTTTTTTTCCCTTTCCCTCAAGAAATAGGAGAAGAGTTCTGTTTTGGGAAATCTTGTGAATAATTTACTCAAAATATGTTTTCCGACTATAGTTTGTTTGGCAATGTTTCAAAAAAACAGCTAGGGATTAAATTCTTGGTTGATTTAGGTTGTTGAAAAAACTGCAGATCCAAATATTGAGTAATATTTTTGCTTAATGCAACTTAGGATCTAATAAAGCATGTGCATTTGGAACTCCCTGCTACTATAAAAGGTGACAAGTTATTGCTAAATATGAGTACTAAATTTGTTGTTCTTTCCTTTGTTGTTCTTTCCTTGGAACCAAGGGAAAGAAGGCAGTTTTTTTTTCAAGGGAGACAGTTTGGTCTAGTGGTTAAGACACTAAATTAGAAAATAAAGGAAGTTAGCAAGTCCTGCCTTAGCTATGAAAACTAACTAAAGGCCTGGTTATCCTCTCTCAGTCTTAGGAAGGAGGCACTAACTAGCCACTTCCGAAAGTATTTGTATTGTATTATTAATTTGTATTAATAATTTTTCCTGCCAAACTTGGAAGAGTTGCTTCCTACTCCAAGTGATTGTAGTAAATGAACCAAATTTTAAGTTCCTTTTCAGACTAAAAGTGCAGAACTTACCCCACAGCTGCTGCAGTTAGGAAAGAGCAGTTATTTCTCTAAAAAGACTAAGCTCTCTATGTGTATGGGGGGGGGAAGACTTACCTTTTGCATTTGTTGATTAGGATTAGCACCTTTCACAGAAGGCATGGAGATATACTAAAGGAAGAAAAAAATAGGGAATGACTTAGAGATACAGACTAGCTCAACAGAAATCTGTAAAGCAATCAAGTAAGAGATGAGAAGAGACAAAGAGGTGGAGTTGGAGGGGTGGAAGTGGGCTGTTCCTAAAGGCACAGGGAAAGAAAAGGGAATATGAGTCTCTTTGCCCTGTTTTGCTGGCAAGGAAAACCAGGGTGAAGACATTTTTTATGGCTTATTTTAACATTTTCCTAACAGAATTTAAAATCTTGTCTCTGGTGATAAAAGACATTTGACAGCAGCATAAAAGTTTCATCAATTTGTTTCTGTTTCCTTCCATATAAATTTATTTACATTGTAAATTAGAGCAGAAATTGAGAGGGGGGGAAATAGTATAGTGGAACAAAATCAAAATAATGCAATACTTCCAGTATTCCATTGGTTCTGACAGGTGGTGATGACAGTGATGGTTAAACATTTGAGACATTTTATTATTACAGTCGATCACAGTAGGCATTACTTTTTTGGTTTTTACAGTATGGTTACATTGTTGCCAATATCAGAAATACAAAAACACTATTGTCTCATCAAATTAATATGCATACACTGAATTGATTCAGAAACATTGTATTTGTTTTGTTAAATTTGGGGGGATTACCCAACTAGCAGATAAACTCTTATATCCAAAGATGTACCATAGTTTCTCAATAGAGACCCCTACTCTTGAGAACAGTCTTTCCCCTGCGGTCTGGCAGATCTCTTTCTGGCCATCTAAAAAGCCTTCAAGACCTGGCCTTTTTTGTTCATAAGCATTGTAGTAGTGAGGTTGGATACCTGTAAAGTTGCATAAGATGGGTAGCTATATAAATAGAAAGGAGTGAGCGAAACAATGAAATAGAAACAAGAAAATTTCAACAATACCATTCAGAAAATTAATTTGATTTGGAGATTGGATCAAATTATCTCTTAATTAAATCTCTGAATTAAAATTTGGCACAACACTATAGAACATATAAAAGGTTAAATGTACTAAAGCAGGGGTGTCAAACTTGCAACGTCACATTATGTGTCACAACGTATCGTGACTTTTTTGCCATTGCTGGCAATGAGATGGGTGCAGTTTTGCTATGATGCATCTGGCCCGCGGGCCAGCAGTTTAACCTCCCTGTACTAAAGTAATGACAGTAAGAGCAACCAGCTTCAGTACTGATAACAATGACATTGAACTAGTAGATAGTTTTTGTGTTTTGGATTCAGTCACCTACATCAAAGGATCCAGCAACTGCTATCTGTTGATATATTCTTTGGTATACTCTGATCATAACATTTGTAAAACCTTGTTAACTTTTTCCAACATATTGCATTTTTTTGGTCTTCTCCATTCAGGTGTTTCTGGGAATATATCCAGATGAACACTTCATAGAGAAGCCAGTGAAAGAGGCCATGAGGAAATTCCGCAAGAATCTTGATGGAATTGCAAGTTACATTGCTGAACGTAACAGGAACAAAAAACTTCCCTATTATTATCTTTCCCCAGATCAAATTCCTAATAGTGTGGCTGTCTGATTTTTAAAAAATTAAGAGTTGGTGTACCTAGCCAAATGCAAAATTATCTATAGCATAAAAAAATTATAACCATTTGTATGCTTCAGCAGAAGATTGGACTAGAAGACCCATCCAACCCTATTATTCTATGTTCCGCAATAACAGATAATTTTTACTTGTTTGTTTAAGAAAGTACTTAAAAAATAAAAACTTGCTACTATGCTATTATCTTAAGTAAGATAAAGTACCATAATGGCTAAGTATTGCTGATTAGAAAAAAATTGAAAATACTCTGATTTGTAAATGCCATACAGTGCAAATATAAGTTACTGTGACCTTCAAATGTTTCTAAACTACCCAGCAAGTCTAACTCAGCATGATCAGTGGGAAAAATACCAAGAGCATATTTCAAGGGCACAGTTCTCACACTTTCACCAAGAATAATTTCCATTTTGTTTATTGCAGATTTGAAAACCAGTAATGATATGCATTAACATCAATAAAATGTATAAGCTTCTGTCATCAATAATGTGAAAAAGATGCTAAAACAATGGTATTCTATAAAGAACAGACAGAATTTGATCAGATACCGTTAAAAACAGATGAAAAGTTGATTAAGAAACTCTATAAATTTCTGTTAAACTTAAAGATGGAGGAAGAACAAGTAAAAGAAACAATGATAACATGGGCAAAGAACTCTGGATATAATATAGAATTAGAAGACTGGGAAAAGTTATGGGAAAGAAATGTTAAATTAACTAAAGCAGTGGCATATATAGAAAACTTATATAAAATGTTTTACAGATGGCATATGACACCAGTGAGATTAGCAAAAATGTTTTAAAATACTTCAAACAACTGTTGGAAATGCAAACAAAGACTAGGTACTTATTATCATATCTGGTGGACATGCCCTAAAACAAAAAGATTTTGGGTTAAAATACATTTATGGTTAGAGAAAATGACTAAAAAACAAATAGACTTTAAGCCAGAATTATTTTTGTTAGGAATAATAGGAGCAAATTATGAGAAAGATTGCATATATTTAATTCTACATGTACTCTGCAGCAAGAATTGCATTTGCCCAACACTGGAAAAATGAAAATTTACCAGCTGAAGAAGTACTAATTAAGAAAATTTTAGAGTGTGCAGAAATGGATAGATTGACTTTAAAGATAAAAGAAAGAAGACTCAGTGTATTTTAGAACATGGGATAATTTCTATCAATGGCTAGAAAAAAAAGTTAGAGAGAATGGAATGTGATATGTAACTTTGAATATATACTAGTAAGAAGACTATTGAGCGATTAATGATAATTAATGATAATTAACCATTATCTATTAATGTTTGTTAAACACATGAACCCAGACATTATGCTGTTTGCTAAATATTGAGAATGTCATTTGGAAAAACCCCAACCCTAACCCAAATCCCATCCCCAACCCCGACCCCACCTTATTCCTAACCCTATAAAAACTAATACAATTTATACAAAAAAAATAATGTATCTTTTTTTTAAAAAATTAAAGGGTACTAGTTTTTAATGCAGCATACTTTTGTCACATTCAAGAACTCATTTCTGAATTACCATTATCTGTTAGGTAATTATTACATATCTATTTTCTACAGTCTATACCCTCCACGGAGGTCTGGTGGGGGTGACTGGTGCTGGTGATAGGAACTCATGGCAGCGGTAGGCAAAGCATATGTGGGCAGTTGCCCTCATGATTGTGGCCTCCTTGGATGCCTGGGTAGGGCAACTCCAGTGCTGGGGCAGGGGTTGACAGTAGCAACAGGCAGGGCATTCTTGTGCAATTGCCCATAAGATAATGGCCTCTGTGTCACCTAGGGAGGTTGACTCCCTGGCTAGGGCAGGGGTCACAGCATTGGCACCTGGGACATGTGTGGGCAATCATCGGCAGGATGATGGCCTCTGTGCAAGCCTGGTGAAAACAACTACAGCGCTGGGACAGGAACTCACAGCAGAGGCAGGTGGAGTGTGCACAGGCAAGTGCCCACAGAACTGTGGCCTCTGTTGAGGCCTGGGAGGGATCAGTTATGTGCTGGAGCAGGGGCTTGCAGCAGCAGCAGGCAGCTCTTACACTGGCATTGTCTGAAGGATTGCAGCCTCATAGTGGCCTGGGGGTAAGTGACTCCAGTGCTGGGGCAGGGGATCACAACAGTGGTAGACAGGGCATGCACAGGTAATTGCCCGCAGAGTCATGTCCTCCATGGAGCCCTGGGATGGTGACTCTGGTGCTGGCAGCAGAGAATCATGGCAGAGGCAAGAGGGATGTGCACAGAGAATTGCCTGCAAAATGATGGGCTCCATGGATGCCTGAGAGGGTTATTCTGGCACTGGGGCAGTTGCTCGGGTATTGGAAGGTGGGAAGAAACAAGTGGGGCATCCATGAACATTTGCCTGAAGGATCGTGGCTTTCATAGAGCCCGGGGGGGGGCAACTCTGGTGCTGGGACAATGCAAGATGGGGTCATGGTAGATGTCTGGGGGAGGCGACTCCAGCACTAGGGTAGTGGCAGCCATGCAGTGCACAGCAACTGCCTGCAGGATTGTACCTTTTTTGATGCCTGGTGAAGGCAACTCAGGTGCTGGGGCAATTGCCTGCAGGACCATGGCCTCCATGGAAGTCTGGAAGGGGGTGACTCTGACAATGAGATAGGGCCTCGTAGGAACAGTGATTCCGGTGCTGGTGGCAGTGGCTTGGAGCAGCCACAGGTGAATGTCAACAAACAATTGGCCACAGGATCATGGCCTCCACTGAGGCCTTGGGGCATGCCTCCTACAATGGGACAGAGTCTCCAGCACTGGGGCAGGTGCTCATAGAAGTAGCAGGCAGGGTGTATATAGGCCTGGAATCTCATGGTTCTTACCCCATTCTCCTGCCATATAGAGGGTCGCCACTTATCAAGCCACACAGTGGTGGGATTCAAATATGTGAACAACCGGTTCTCTATGTGGATTCTGCTTCTGGAAGTCCATTCTGGGCCTGGGCAACAAAAAATTAGCCACCAGTTCTTCCAAAGTGGTGCAAACCGGCTGAATCCCACCACTGAAGCCACGGCAACCCCAAAATTATAGTCTCGGTCATTTTTGGAATTACCACAAAACAGATGATCTCCCAATGCTGCCCCATCTCTCTAGTCCAGTGGTTCTCAACCTGTGGGTCGGGACCCCATTTGGGATCGAACGACCATTTCATGGGGGTCGCCAAACAATGCAGTCCACCATTTTTTTCCCCTTTTCCTTAGCTGTGCTACTCCCTTTTATTCTATTGGCTTTTGAAAGCCAATAGAATAGACTCTCTTGAATAGAGAATAGAGTCTAATTCTATTGGCTTTCAAAAGCCAATAGGAATTGTCCAGGCTGTCTCTGCCCTGCTGAGCCCGCCAAAAGTCCCATTCTGCAAACGGTGCTGCACCAGTTTAGTCCTCGACTTATGACCGCTTGAGTAGTCCTCGACTTATGACCGGTTGGGGGTCGCGGCATTAAAAAGGTTGAGAACCACTGCTCTAGTCATACCAGTTCAGTTAGGTGCATTGCCAGGGACCCACCTGTGAGAAATGAAAATATTGGCTATTGTTTTTCTATGCAAGGTTTAGACCCAGGTGAACTAAATCAGGCCTCATGGGAAAGGTATTGAACCAAAGTATGTGCTATGCTCAGTTTTACAATCTGAAGGAGCTATTTGTAATCCCAATTGCAACTGTACTTTACTTAATATGATTTTGTTAAGCTTGCTTGTTTCAATTATATTTAGAAAATAAGGACTGGAACTGTGAGAAATGGGGAACTGAAAGTAACTGATGAGTGCGGGCTCTGATGTACACGGGTATGTGGAAAGTTATGATCAGCAGAAAGTCTGCAGAAAATGCAAGGTTGCTGACCATCTGTCTGTGATTTAAAATGAGTTAAAGTATAAAAGACTGAGTCTGGACGTGGTTCAGGGCCACTTGGCACTAGCCATCACTACTATGACTGCTAGTCCAAAGCTGGTTCTCATTGCAATGGGTATAAGTATTTATGTGATTGTTTTGTGTTCTAAATTTCAATAAATAAACATCTGATTCTTAAAGTGAGATGTTTGTAATGTGCTGTCTTGTGTCTTTTAATAGATTTTTTCCATGACCAATGACCCATCAGCCTGCTCAAACTTCATGGCTAGGGGCAATCGCTTGGCGCGGATTCCCAACTTAAGCACAGTTGGAAGGTTGATTAAGCATCATGTGCAACCCGAGTTTATTTCGATGTCTAGGTCTGCCTGAATCCCGGGTTTTTGTACTATAATTTTAGCAGGGATGTGAAAGGAGGAATGGCTCGACATGATCGGGTCATTCTCACCTTCATCGTCACTGTCATAGGGCACCGGTAATTGCAGGTATTCAACTGGAGTTCCATCTCTCCCCCATGGAGGGAGGAGACCTTGATGGCTTGATTTTGATGTGCCCAGTTTGACTTCTCCCAACCCTTTCATTGTGGCTTTTTCTGCTTAGAGGTGGTGGCATTGGTGCTGTGTGTCAGAGGAGCTGGTGCCAGACACTCAGCTGCTCAGTGCCCTTGCTGGCTGCACTGGTAGCACTTAATAGGGGCCCCAGCAGGTGCTCTGGGGGCGCTGGCCGTGAAAGTTGCTGCCAGACATTGTCTGAACTGACGTCTCTCCTGACTGCACCTCGGCTTTGATTCGATAGCACTGGGTTTCTTGTAGCGGCCCAATTCAATATCAAGAATCACTGCCATTCGATACCACTTGGGAAGCTGCTCGGGGATCCCCTAGTAAGGGCTTTTCAACCGGTGGTACGCGCATCACTGGTGGTACATTGGCACATGGCAAGTGATACATAGCCCTGCCCAGCCCAGCCAAGGGTAACCCTGTCTAATCCTTAGACTAACCCAAACTCAAACCCTAATCCTTAGACTAAACCAAAACTGAATCCAAACCCTAATGCTAATGCTAAACCTAACCGTAAACTATAACCCCCTAACCATAATCATAACAGTATCCCTGACATTTCCCTAATGCTAACCATAATTCTATTTGTAACAGAAACTCTAACCCTAACCTTAACCCTAATCATAACAGTATCCCGATTATTTCTCTAACGCTAACCATAATCCTATTCGTAACAGCAACCGTAACTGTAAACCTCACCATAACCATAAGCCTAACCCCTAGACTAACCTGAACCCTAACCCTAACATCACACTAATGCTTAAACTAATGACCCTGTCACACTAACTGGAACCCTAACTCCTTACTCCTACC